CTGGCCGTATGTGCGTCTGCGCGTCTGATCTCTGTCCTTGTAAATTTCTCTTCAAGCTTCTGGTCCCAATTTTTGAGAAACGAGGACGAATGTTATTGAAAATAATTTGGATCGGTTCACTTATTCGACCATTCCTCATTGAACGCCAAGTTGTTATATAGGGAAAATTGCAATTTTGAAAATTTCACAAAAGAAAAGTGGCTAAATAATATTACTTCGGCATTCTAAATTGGTATGAAAGCTTTGGACCTACTGGGGCAAATTTTGAACTGCATCTCATCTAATCGAAACTGAAGTTCCTATGACAAAAACGTCTAATTTGCAATGCTTCTCGATGAAGATCAGATCATTACTGTCATTTAAGATAAAAAAAATTAATTGTACCGAATTTGGACCAGCCACGCCTTTTTTTAGATCCTACCCTATACAACAATTTTTACGAAAAGAATTTTTTTAGAGCAGAACCGTCTAAATTTCAATATGTTATAATGAAAATTGATCCGTAACAGTAATATGATATAAAAATTAACAATACTGAATTTTTGAACCTCTTAGGAACAAACATTCGTACGGAAAGTAAGCCTTTATTTAAAAAGGAGGTACAATTTTTGATCAACTGTTCCATAATAAGGAAGTTGCTATAAAAACGGAATATAATTTTTGTGTTCTATTGCAAAAATAAGTTTTGCGTGGTGTAAAGCATTTAATAGTCGGCCTAGCTCGACTATAATACTGTCACTTGTTTTCGTAATAAAAATGAATTTTTGTTAATAAAATGTAATATGGATTTCATTATAATTTTTTGCTACGCTTTTTTGGGATAATTTTCGAAGATTTTTCACCTTAAGCGGTTTTTTAAAATTGCAGGACATACCCCAAACTTTACCATAAGTTATATATGTATTTTTATACTATATACTAGAAGCGTGTACCTACATATAATATAACTGAGCTTCGTATATAAAAACGTTTAGCTTATAGGTGCTAGATATCGTCTTAATATAGATAGAGTAAAAAGAGTATGACGTTTTCACAAACACGCACAAGTACAAAACATAAAAAACCGAAATCAAACTTTTTGATTTCACTTTCAAATAACTCTTTTCTGTTCGCTTCGAATTAAGAAACTTATTTCCGTAATTTTATTTATCGTATTGTTGTCTTGCAACTTTAACCTCACATCAGTCTTATTATTTTTTAAGTCTTTTTCATAAGCAGCGTCACATTGTCTATTTTAGCCCCCATTTAATTTGCAATGAAAAACAAACAAATTAAAAAATTTACAGAATTTCTGTAGCCTATTTTTGGGTGCTCGTTATACAATTTGCACGTGAAGATCACAAGACACTAGATCTATTATTTAACAGAATCGAATCCCTTTTGTCGATTAAGTTGGGCATTTGGTCTGTTATTTAAAAGAATCGAATCCCTTTTGTGGATTAAGCTGGGCATTTGGTCTGTCATTTAACAGAATCGAATCCCTTTTGTCGGTAAAGTTGGGCCTTTAACCGTGCTTATATGATTAATGTATCTTTCTCCGTTATAAAATTAATTTAATGTGCGAAGCAGTTGTAGGAATTGAAAAATTGCGAAAAAAATGAAAGAAAAGAAACTCAAATATATTAATTGAGTGAAAAATTGAGAAAATTTAAAAATATTTCAAATAAAAAGAGGATTTGTATATAAAATCATTATCTTAGATTTATTTTCACCATAAAATTCCATAACACTATATATGACAGGGAATTGAAAAAATCGTCCAGTCAAAATAATAATGTTTAATAATGTTTAATAAGGTTCCGATGTTTAACTCTGCTTATATTTAACATGTTTAAGAATGTTGAAGAATGCTTAATAATGTTTAATAAGGTTTTGGTATTGAGATACAAAAGCCTATTGCAAACAGAAAATGTTGGGTAAATTTATTTAAATATATAAGTACAATATTTAGGCGGTAGAGGAGTTG